AGAGACGTCTGCTTTCTCAACAACCGGCCATCATTACGGAGAACAAATGAGAAGATCGATGGCCATCAGAGGAGTTGAGGCGTGAAGTGTGAAGCTGTGTTGATTCCAGACGAGAGCAGCTTTGAACCGAGTGACAAACTTAGAGCAGGCTTCATATAACAAAAAGTATCTGAGCGTGCGAGAGTGAGAGAGAGTGAGTAAGGCGGCGGGAGATAATTGCCGTACTGGTGTAGAGAAGCCACATAAGCGTGCGAGTTGCGTGTTGCGTGTGGAGCTCTCTCGCCCGCGCCATTTTGTGCCCGGTTTCCATGCAGGTGCAGCGTGAGAGCATGGAACTAACAGCAGAGCAGCCGACGGTGCAAATTATACTGCGCAAAGTGGATTTCTAAAAAATGCAACTCCTACCGCCGAGTGTGAGTGTTGGTGAATGTGGGAAAAGTCTTTTAAGTATTATTGCCCGGAGTATCCTCGCTCTCTGAGTCATCTGCTCTCGTGCTCACTATGTATTCTCATTTGCTCAGCATTCACTTCACCCTGAATCAAGTTCAAGCAGAGCCATAGTCTGCCGACTTCTTTCGCTTTGTTGGTCTGCCTCATGAGGAGGACGAGGAGCGGGGAAGATAGGGATGAATGCGGGGAGGGTGTGAATGTGTGACCCTGCTCTGAAGTGTAACTAGATCCTGCGGTGGAGGATGGGGGTGTGTGGTGGTGTTTGTGTGTGTTCCAGAGTTCATCGTGCGAGTCACGCCACTCTCAGTCCACAACTCTCTGCTGAGCCCACTCTTCTGTCGATTCTCAGGAGGGCCTCAGGTTTGCTCTGGTTGGCAGAGTTCCCTTTTTCTCAAGTGCCTGCAGATGCTGAAGCATAATGACAGTAGGTGAAGGAATGGCGTCTCGAGAATGAAAACAGAGATGAGTCGGAGCGGCGGGATGTAGCGTTGATATGTTGTGGGTATATTGGCCTACTATGGAACAAACTCGCACTGTTACTACTGCTCACTTGCATCTTGCGTGTCGGTGAGGAGCTAGCGTTGACAGATAAGGTTGAGAGGTGCTGATGCGTGGGCGAGCGTTGTTGCGTGGGGTTGGCCTCGTGCCATTGGGTGGAGATCGCACTCGCTGACCGGTGCCTTAGAAGTGGGTTGGCGTAACAAGTGTCTGAAAGTGAGGACGAGGGCGTGAGAGCGTGCGTGTGCGACGCGCGAGAGCGAGTGGGTGAGCCTGCTTTGAGCTGAGCGGGTCGGGAGGGGGGTGAGAGTGAGCGTGAGGGGTGGGGTGTGACGATGAAGATCATGAGTTGCTTCTGGTTTCTGTCGGGTAGTGTGAGTTAGCCTCACATTTTGCGCTGTAGCGTGTAGTCCCGCGTAGTGCGTGAGACGTTCGGCTGTCTATCGTCGCTAGCACTTGCATTGAGCTCTTGCGGTCTGCTGTGTGGTGTGTGGCTCGTGTGTGTGTGTGTGTGACTCGGATTGTTGGAGATGAGGAATACGCGTATACTTGCTACTTCTTACATTTTGAACACAAATACTGTTACGTTTCTACTCTTCGTGTATTCGGGTCTGTTAGTAAATGC